CCCGACAACAATTGACAAAACGCGTTCCGGCTGTTTAACAGTTACCAGAACGCGTTGCGAGCGTTTAAAAACAGCCAGAACGCGTTCTGTGCGTTTGAAGGCAGCCAGAACGCGTTGTGGCCGTTTTTTCCGGCCACTGAGCGTTTTCGGTCTTCGGGCCTAACATATATAATGATGTTAACAAGAAACAGGAAACTAAACATAGTTTGCAATGCGGACCCCGGATTTCATATTTACAATTGCATCAGTACCTTAATCATGATTTTAATGTAGTAATTTTTGTTTTTACCTATCGTAATCTCAGTTGTTAAAAAATGCAATTTTCGTCTTATTTATGGGCACCACTATATATAAAACAAGACGATAAAATAACTAAGGGAGCAGTTATTTTCGACATATATTTTATTGCTGAATCAGAAGCTGATTTCAAACCGACAAACCATCCAAAATAATTCTTAGGTCATGTGCGAATTCAGAAATCGCAAAATAAATACGTCGGAAATAACTATATCATTGTCTTTCTTTTTTAACCCCCGATTTTGTTTGCTTGTGTTCTCCACAAACTGAGGAATTTAGATAAAGTTTATCGACCAAGAAGCAGAGCTTAGAAAAAGGTCATTTTTTTACAATAACAAATAACAGTTATCAGACTGTGTTTTAAAGAATGGCCTATAGATGAAAATGTGTATAATTATACTAATCAAATAGTGTTTATAACAAAATGGCGTTGTATAAAATCTGAAAAGTACCTATAGTTTAAAACTACAAAAGGAACCGATTTGACTACAGTACGAAAGTTGTGGAGAATTGAAAACCCAATAATATGAGCCCTTGATCAGCGTAATCGATGTAATCTTCGTGAAAAATGTTGAAAATGCATCCTTTTGAAAATTCGTAACTGCTACAAATTTGAAGCTGTAGCATCTGCAATGAGTGACGTAGCAGCTACGAATATGTAAATTATTTGGTTGAAAATTGGACTCTGTGGAATATATAGTTTTTCAACAATTACCAATTCATTATTCTAGTAAGAAATTTTTTACTATATGTATCTATTGTCAGTTTAAGTATCGAAAAAAAAACTTTTTTCAAAAAATAGACTAAGGACAATTTCATATTAATCAATAATAACAAGCGAGCGGTAAACTCTCAGAAAGATAATAATAACACAGGTCTGCGATAAAAAAGTTTTTTGTATAAATTTATCTTAAGCATGCAAATGTTGGTTTATATTTTGCAAATATAAACTTTGTTTTAACGTATCACGTCACATTTTTTTTTGTATGTAGATTAATATGTTAATGTCAAAAATGCGTAAAGTAGACGGTCGACTTATATACTGCAGGTTGCAATGTTTCAATCGGCCCATCGATTTATTGCTAACTGCAACAATTGCATAAAATATAAATACTGATTTGGAGACGCGGATCCTGGAAAAGCACTTCATACGTCATACATACAAATAACGAATGGAAAGCCGAACATGGGGATATCCTATTACATACGGTCATTAAAGAACAGCATCATTTTTTGAAAAATAGGTGCGACATGGTATAGAAAAATTCGTACAAATACCTTTGGCCATATTTTAATATAAATGATGAATGATCGCGTTTCTGACAGAATGCCCATGCGTCATATAGTCTGCAAGATCCAATTGGATATAAGCTACGCTCGAGAATTATAGGTTATATCGTTTTCACTGCAATCAAGTAGACTGGTTGCTTTAACATATAGCATCCTATGACATTGCAAAGGGATCGGGAAAGGGAAAGGTGAAATAAATCAGTGTTATTTGACCTTATTTTATAGAACAAGGAATATTAAGGAAACTTCTCGTCACCATAACCTTATCCACACATAATACGTAGTTTATTTCTTATTAACGGGGACTTTCCTTCCTCGGTTTTTTTCTTCCCTTCCTCTTCTGTACTCGATATCATATCATCATCATCATCATGATAAAGTCGTCAGTCCTAAGACAGGTTGAGCACACATCTTCACTTTTTGCTATCCTGAGCTAATCCTAACATTTCCCTAAAACTAGAACAACCCACATCCTTAACTATTTGCGAACAGTAATCTAATCTACGTCTACCTCTACCCCTCTTAACCCCCGTTTCTGCCTCTAATATGTCTCTGACTAGACCTTCATGTCTGAGAAGGTATCCTACTAACCTATCTCGCCTATTTCTTATTGACTTCCCTAGAGTCCTCTGTTCTACTATTCTTTCTAACCTTCTCTATCCACGGTATCCTCATCATTCGCCTCTAACACCACATTTTGAACGCTTATCTAACTTCCTAGATACCTAAAATCAGCCAGGCATCATAACGTAGGATATTAAATATTAAATGAAATAGCTAATTTTTATAGAATAACCTCAAAAATTGAATAGTTCGTTTGTCTTAACTTATCTATTTCCCCTCATCGAGGGAAGCTTTATTTTTCTGTGTGGTAACATACGCTATAGTTCTAGGACTTTTGGGATTTTGTTTGGTGTCGTGTGCATAGGTACCTACATTGCAGGCGGGTCGTAAATAGTAAACGTCGTTGCATTTACCGTGTAGACGTATGCAAATAGAGAAGTCTTTTGACGTGTAAAACCGAACGACAAACTAACGGGCCTCCTCGAACAAGGTCACTTCCCNCACCATATGAATATCGTTTTCCATTACTTTTAAGACAATTACGACAAACATTAACAATTTAAGAAAAAAACTTTTCAAAAAATTACCTGTGTAATAATGAGTTTAATGAGCAACTTCTGCTACAAAAATCAAACAAAAAATAAACATAAAAGATAAATGTATGTAAAAGTCACCAAGGAAAGTGATCGATTCGTAATCAAGTGAAATGCATTTATTACGTTACTAGAACGAAAAAACTTAATTACATTTTTTATCCGAATCACAGAAAATAATTTGTTATTGATAAAAAAGTTGAACATGTAAAAAACAAGATCAAAAACCCCTTTTACAAAAATACTCATTTACTCATTCAAAATAAATAGATTATGCATGTTGGCATTTTTTCGAAAAATGCACCTTTCTTGAGTTATAGATAATTTAAGGTTGGTCCAAACATAGCCAAAACTGAAAGGTTTCAAAAATTCACATCTTAGGTTCTACTGAACCTTTTTTAACTTACTAAGTCTCAAAGTCATCGTTAATAGCTGTAGTTTAAACTAGTATGAGTTATAATAAAGTAGCTTTTCATTTTCATACCAAAATTTTACATCGAAGTATCGCAAGAATCAGTAGCAATATTTGATGAAAAATTTCAGAATGAAAACGAAAAGTTGCAGTGACAAAAAATGTTTCCTTTTGATTAGATAACCTAACAATAGCATATTTAAAAAATATTTGTTGTTTTTTTTTTAATTTTGGTACTTTTTGTAAAATTTCCTGCCGTTCGGATATAAAATTTTTATTTAGATTTCTCAATAACGTAACAGATCCATTCCATTCGGTTGTAATCCGGCAACGAGGATTCAGTGATATTTTTTTCCAAGTTTTTGAGGGTACACACGTGTCCGTTCGCCTATAAGGAAGGAGGTAGATTGGCTGCTGTTATAAGATTTTGTATGTTGACTTCATTAAAAAAAAATATATTTTGCCAATGCAATCCAAACAGTATAATAAACAATGGTTTTCATTTTCTACTAACAAAAAAAAATTTACGTATTGTTTTTAAGTAACTATTATAAGATATGCATACCAACAATTATGTACAAAAGGTGTTATTATTATACGTGCTACACATTTGTTTACCATTTCATATTTCATTAAAGGACAGTGTTTAATTCTAACGCAGTGCTCAAAAAGTGAATGCAGTGCTAACGTTTGTGTATAGGTATATACTTCCTAAATTTGAAAAAAGCTACCCGTACCTTTGGATGATAATGGACGATTTCAGGCAAATATTTTTTAGTTTTACTTCTCATTTTAATAAACCATTAACGAAACTTGTCCCATTGGGTCTTGTTTTTCGCATTACTTCACCGAATTTTTTGAAACTGTTGGGTTGCAAATAGAAAAAGGAAAGGCGATAAGTGACCTTTAAAACTATAGAGGCCTATCCGTTTAAACACTCGAATCATTGTTGCCTTTCCTGACCGAAGTTTATTAGAAGACTAAAATAATCATATAAAATTATGTGGAAAGCAGGAAAAGGACGACTATGAGACCGTGACACTTGTTGCTCTTCATTGTTAGGGCAAGCGCAAGGTGGATCATTGGTAAAAAAACAAATTAATATTGCAAAACACTTCCGATCGAAACGTAAAAATACAATTAGGTAAATTTTCTAAAAATAACTATTGTGAATGAAAGATACAATTATGCTATAACGATTTTTTTGCCATTAAAGGGTTGCTTAATCTTATTTTAGAATTTGTTTATAAGTAAATAAGTATTAACTCGAATGAGCAAAGAATAATACAAATACATTTTAAATAAAAATTAATTAATAATCGGTCTTGCAAATTTTTGCTTATTGTTCTTAAGGTTATTAACTAAAACTAAAATGTAATCTTCTAGTCAGAGCCGCATATAATAAGTTTTTACAAAAAATNTGCAATAAATTTTTTATGGTTTTTAATATGAGGACAAAATTATGATACAATGGTAAATTAAAAACTTTGTGATTATTCACAGTAGTAATATCTCAGGATTTTGAATTGTTTTTTGTTTTACATATCTACTAAATAGAAATTTAAAAACCTAATAATTTTAATGATTCCCTTAGCACCTTATTCAAAATACTTAATTTTTATAGTTAAAACAATAATAATACTTTTCTCTCCTCTACACAAAAGATAAATTTATTTATTCAAGCTTTATAAACTTTTTCAACTATTTGAAATGTTCATTTTAGCGGTTATCTAAATAAGTATTTCAAAGATTTCTGTTTGACGAAAGTAATTGTAGGTTTCCTTATATAATAATTAATTTACAGTTTATTCCACCGGAGAAAAGGTGTCGCTAGTGTCAAAGTAATGTGGGCGAATTGTGTATTGTAAAGATAAAAACAAATTGGCATGACATTGATAAACAGTTAATACGAATTGTTTAAGTATTACAACAAATTTAAAGCATTTGTAAAAATACTATGACTTGACGAGGAAAGAGTATTTTTATTTTGTTCGGGTTTCGTAGTCATGGTCGACGAACACAGCAGTGATGAATCAGATAGTGATTTTGATCGGCCCCAATTGCAAGGTACCCTTCACAAGTGGACAAATTATATTCATGGATGGCAAGATCGTTACATTGTTTTAAAAAATGGTACGTTGTCGTATTATAAAAGTGAGCATGAAAGTGGCTATGGATGCAGGGGAGCAATTTCATTGGCTAAAGCAACAATAAAAGTGAGTCCTTTAAACAAATAAAAGTTGTCAAAGGCAACCAATGTATTTAGCAAAAACTGTATACATAAACTTTCTTCATTTGTCTTTTTATTATAGCCGCATGAATTTGATGAGTGCAGGTTTGATGTATCAGTTAATGATTGTGTGTGGTACCTACGTGCAGATAGTGTTGAAAGCCGACAACAATGGATTGATGCTCTAGAGCTTTGTAAGGTGAGAATATTTATTTGTGTTGTTTAATATTTAAATTATTTTATGTTGATTATTTACTGCAATATGAAAGAAAGAAATGTATGTTATTGTAATTTTGTTACGTATTTTTGGTCATTTTAAATGGCACTTAACCGAGCATATGTAATCTATTTTGTTTATTTTTGTATAAAGCAGTAATACATATTTATAAATAATTCATAAGTTATCTATGATTTAATAAATATAAGTATCTATTAAAATAAACAGTATTTTGTTTGTAATTGATTAACAAGCATTGTAATATTGGAATTGTTTTGAGTATTTTCTTTGGTTGTCAATCAATTTTTCATAATGCAGTTTATTATAAAATCATTCAAACAGGTAAGTAATTAATATAAAATACTTTTTTCCTAAATTTAATTTTCTATTAAAGGGTGAATCGGGCTATGGAACTGGTTCAGAAAACAGTTTAAAACGACATGGATCTACAGTTAGTTTACAGTCCACTACCTTCAGTACTGCATCATCAAACAGTTTTAAGAAGTCTACACGAAATTTACGCGAAAAACTGGCAGAAATGGAAACGTTTAAAGATATCCTTTGTAATCAAATAGATAAGTTGCAACAGTATTTTGATAAATGTGCTGAAAATGAAAATTATAATTGTAATGGAGCCAAAACATCCCCAAAAATCAAAGGTACTATTTATTTTAATAATCTTGTAATCTAGTAATAATAATAATCTAGAAATTATTTAAGTAACTTATAAAGTTAATGGTGAGTAATATTGTTTGCAGATGAAAAAGCAGTAGTAGATTTTCGTGGTGAAGCTTTAACATTTAGGGCTACAACAGCTGGTTTGTTGGATACCTTAGCGCATTGTATAGAGTTGGTGTCACAGAGAGAAGAAGCTTGGCGAAAACGTTTAGAAAAAGAATGTGACAGACGTAGGCATACTGAAAATATTGCTAGATCATATTTTGATCAACTTCAGAAAGTTCGCAATGCTCACCCAGGTCCAGATCTGGAGGTAAAATTTGTTTATTTGTCTCTTCTTACACATAAAAGTTCTACAATGTATAATTTATCAATTTAGATTTTAAAAATTAAATTTTCATTTATTTTAAATGCACAAAGTTAAGAAAATTGGTAAAATTTCTAGTTCAAAAGTTAGTTAATGTATACATCAATTAAATGAATTTCAACGTTATCAGAATTGAAAAGACTTTTCCTAGTATTGTAGAGTAACGATTTCGTTATCTAACCTTTGACCTGACTCATACTGCATTATGTTTATTAATGACGGAAATTTAGTACAAAAATATATGCTGAACGAGTTTTTTGTAATTACAGTGTTTTTATGTAGCTGAATGTTACTGTGGAGTGATTAAAAAATAGTTGTATGTGTAAACTTCTTACTTCAAATATGTTTTTGATGTTACACATCATCCGAAAGATAAGAAACAGCAAAAGTTGTAACTTGTTTATCATTTCCTTTATTTAGAATGCTTGGAACAATGACAGCAACAGGCGTGTAGTTTATTTCCATGCAATAAATTTTTTATGGTTTTTAATATGAGGACAAAATTATGATACAATGGTAAATTAAAAACTTTGTGATTATTCACAGTAGTAATATCTCAGGATTTTGAATTGTTTTTTGTTTTCTCTGTGAAATTATTTTGCAATAATGAATTTAAACGATGAACATTTTTATTTTTGGTTCTTTTTCCAACTGAAAAAATAGCATTCAACTATTTAATGAAAGTAGTCGATTTTAATGCCATAATCTTTGATTTGGGGAATTCCACTCAACGAAAATGATAAATTTAAATATAAGTGGATGAGTCAATTATCGTTTAAGCGAAATTGGTGGTTAATTTTTATCTAATTTATTTAATTACTTTGCTATTATAGGATCTATTATAGCTATATTTAAAAATTTTTATATAAACAAAATATGTATGAACATTGTTAAAACAGTCGAGGATGTGTGTAATTTTATGAAAATACACTGGAAAATTAGCGTAATACCTACTCAGTTAACTTTTTTTAATTAACTAGATACGTAAAATATGATTAACTGAGTTAAGAAGTATTTGACATGAAATTATTACGTTATCCGATCTCAGATAAAGTATTATTTTTAATAATCAATTATTATCACTTTAATTATTCTGAGAGGTAGGTGATAGGTAATGAACGATAATCATTTTATATATATTTATTACATTAATAATAGAATTATAATTTTATTTATTTAAAAGATATTTCAGAACAATATATATTAAGCAATAATGTTTATAGGAAGGACCGCATAGTGTTATTGGAGACGATGAATTTTATGACGCTGTCGAATCCGGACTCGACAAGATAGAGGAAGAACAAGAACTGAGGGGAAGAATACTGAGTGGTATGGCTGTGCCTGTTACCCCTCCACCAACTTCGCCAATGGTGCAGCATCACTTAACTGCAGAAGTAATTATTACTTTTATTAAGTTCATATTTTTTAAAAGTTTGGGTTTTATTCATATATTTCATTCATTATATTTCTTACCATGATAATTTAAGTTTGACAAGGTCATGTGTCAAGCAATCAGGCGAAAGTAAATATCGGCACTGTCCCACCTGAATTTGCTGTCAACTTGATAAAAGGTATTCCTGTAATATACATGCATATTGTAGAATTACTTTTGAGCTTCTAAAAGTGCATTAAAAATTAAAAAAAAAACAGTAAAGTGCTAAAAAGTACTGTTGGATGCGAAAATCTTAAAAAAAAGGTTAAAACCTGGTAAACCAAAAAATTTATATCTTATTAACTTTTAACTTTTGCATTCTTTTCATGAGAGCATTATTAACACCAGAGTTACGATTAGACTCTTTTTCTATTTATTTGAATGGTATAGCATCATATTCTCTATTTTATCGTTTTGCATTAAGAAAGTTTTAAAATTTCAGGTAGATGCGGTGGTGAAACAGCAAGTTGCCATGGCCCGATTGGGGGTTGGAGAATGTGGTACCGGTTGGCAACTCTTCGCGGAAGACGGAGAAATGCGAATGTATCGCAGGGAACAGGAAGTTGACGGTATGGTTGTAGATCCTCTCAAAGCCGTGCACACTGTCAAGGGCATCACTGGGCATGAGGTCTGCCACTATTTCTTCAGTCCACAATACAGATACGATTGGGAAAGTGAGTCTATTATAAACATGTTATTATAAAATAACTAAAAATAGAATAGTCAGGCTCATATGCAAAGGGAAAAAGTTCTGGGGGTCATGATTCTCCCAAGAATTAAGAAGTTACGCTAGACGTCATCAAGAAACCTGAAACTATGTTTCGAAAGAACTTAACAAATTTGTATGTCATTCAAAATCAGGGAATGCTGGTGGGAGATGAGTCCCTCCAAACTAAATTATGGTGCAAAGCCGGAGGGTGGGGCAGATTGGTGGGAATGAATGGGTGCTAGCATGAACATGGCATCCCCTTTTCCAATAATCTTATTTCCTTCTGTCATATCCCCGCACAACCTAAAGCAGTCACAGTATATAATTTTTTTTTTCAGCTACATTAGAGCACATGAACGTTGTAGAGACTATATCTGAGGACACGTTGGTTTTTTATCAGTTACATAAACGCATCTGGCCAGCCAGTCAGAGGGATGTGGTGTTTTGGTCGCACATACGTCATTTGCCTAATGATCAAGACCGTGATGGGCCGCATATATGGACAGTGGTTAATCAGTCTACAGAACATCCAGAGTATCCGGTATTGTACTTTTACTTTATTTACTATTATTAAATAAATAAGTATTCAAAACATATTTTGTATTGTATGAAAGGGTCATAATGTTGTGCATTAAAAATATTTATTAATTTCGTTAATGGAACAAGTTAAATAAATGCTTTTCTGATGTGTTGATTTAAAGTGTCCTGCAGTATATTTTCTTCTTTTAGGGATGTTCAGGAAAGACCGTGAGAATATACTTGACCGTGTGCTTGCTTTGTCAGACCATTGTTAATCCTCCAAAAGATGGGGCCCCAATATCAAGAAACGACATTTCATGTAAAATTACTTACTGTTCTGTTGGTAAGTATTAATTGTAGTTTTAGTAACGTTTTTTTTTTTCAACAGTTCAATAAAATGCTGCATCATCATAAACTAGTCAAATCAGAAATTACAAATCAAAATTATATAAAAAATAAAGCGGTTTTTATCTTACAATTACTTTAAATGTCATGAAAATGTATGGTTGGGTGTACCTTTTGAAATTCAGTTTTAAAATCGCAAACATAAATATAGAATTGTTAAATTCATTTAACAATTTAAAGAATTCAATTTCACCGACAAAATTAGATTTTACATAAATAAATATAGAATGTCTATTTAATACAAGGATGCTGTTTGTGAGATAATCCTTATTGAACTTCTTTTTTACTTTGAATTTTTATAAAATTGTAGTAAATCCTGGTGGTTGGGCTCCAGCATCAGTTTTGAGAGCTGTCTATAAAAGGGAATACCCGAAATTTCTGAAACGTTTTACGGCTTACGTTATAAATCAGTCTAAAAATAAGCCAATTATGTTCTAATGACACACAAGCCACGTGCATAAATGTATCATATTGTCTTGTGCTACTCTGTAAGAAAACCACGCTATTATTTGTATTATTGTTGTTACAATGTGTAAATGTCTTTCACTTGATATTTTTTATTTGTAAAGTATTGTCAGAATCAAAAATATATATACAGTTTCTCTAATTTATGTTCTGTATTTTCTCTTTTTAACTATTAAGTCAAAAAAAGAAAATCAAGAAAATTAACTGTTGATTTTAAAACCCAAGATTTGCCGTTCTAATATTTTTTATTGAAATGTAATCGAATTGTAAATCAAGCTAATAATTTTATTTATTATCTGAATTTAAAACAGCTTCCAGAAACATGCAATTTCAAGTCATCCTAGTATATTGGGTAGCCTAACTTATTACCACATTCGCTGAAATGTAACAATACAATTATACAAGAGTCTATCGTCACATTCGGAGGAGACGAATTTGGCCGAACATTGAATGAAATTAAAAAACCTGAAACAACCATAACCTAATTTAATCCAGTAAAAGTTATGGCAGGTTGTGGTTGCTCAAGTTTTTCATTTTTACTGTTTTTTGAAGGGTAAATATCCTTTTAACTTCGTTCGGTGCTTAACTATGTTCGTAACTAGTGACTCCTGTGCGTGTGACGACTAGACTCGTAATCATGGTGAGCATCTTGTGGTAAATGGTGATATTTAATAATTATTCGATGAACTGTATTAGTATTTGACGGTGTTGGACAATATTATGGAGTTTTTCAGGATGTTCATAAGTAAGATTTATGATGCCAATGGGATATTGTGGCAAGCTTTTTGTTGTAAGTACATTATGTTCATTTCATGATTAGAAAAGAAATTATGCAAATTAAATTTTTTTCGTAACACGTGTTTCAAAGTAAAGTACAAATACTAATCGTAATAAATGCGCAATGTCGCATTCAGTATTATAAATACATAATACTTGTAAACATCAGTTATATTGACATGCTCTTCAGTTTACAAATTTTACTCATGGGAAATAGCAAGAGAGTCACTTGTTGTACCTAGTAGGAAAGTACATGCAAAATTTGTTCCACGAAACCCAGACTCGTCGACCGGTATGTTTACCTACCTACTTCCCTTATCAACCCGTCCAACAAGTTTCACCGTTACCAACAACAACCCCTACATGAGGCATATTTCGAAAACTAAATTTTATTCAATTCTTTTAATATTTTTCTTTTTTTCATTAACTGGTTTTTTGTCTAGACATCTATTTCCTTTTTTTATTTTCTATTTATTTCTTTACTTATTTCCCGCACTATAAATTCTATCTTTCCTTCAATTTCTGTTTTCTCTTCTAGTTATCGTACAGACTTGCTCTTTTTTTTTAATCCTAGGTTTTCGAGTATGCCACGTTCGTTCCCAGCATCATTTTTTTCATTTTTTTTCCCTAAGTACCCGTTATCTCACATTCGTTCATTCTTTAACCAATTTTACCCCACTTCATCACCCCACCTTCAACCCCTCTACATTCCACCCCTTTTCATTACCTCAGGTTGGTATAAATACTGGTCCCAGCGCAATCAAAAACCATCTCTGACATTCCACCCACCAGCGGCAAGGGAGAGAGAGATCCTAACCTCCGAGCTACT